CTTCCACCCCAGGTAGATCTGTTTGTGACTTGAAAAATCCCACTGTGTGGGCGAAACGTTGTCAATAAAGGATCACATTAAACTGCATATGTGTTTATGTTTCCAGACCTGGACAGATTGCAAGCCTGGTCCAGCAACTGGCTCCTTGAATTTAACCCTGCCAAATGCAAAGTCATGAAGATCGGGGAAGGGCAAAGACCGCAGAGTACAGGCTAGGTGGCCAAAGACTGCAAACCTCACTTGAGGAAAAGGATCTTAATGTAAGTATAATACCGAGCACATCTCCTGAGGTACACATCAGCAAGATAACTGCTGCAGCATATGGGCGCCTGGCAAACCTGAGAATAGCGTTCCGATACCTCGGTAAGGAATCGTTCAAGACTCTGTACACCGTGTACGTCAGGCCCATACTGGAGTATGCAGCACCAGTTTGGAACCCACACCTGGTCAAGCACGTCAAGAAATTAGAAAAAGTGCAAAGGTTTGCAACAAGACTAGTTCCAGAGCTAAGGGCAATGCCCTACGAAGAAACGTTAAGGGAAATCGGCCTGACGACACTGGAGGACAGGAGGGTTAGGGAAGACATGATAATGACATACAAAATACTGCGAGGAATTGACAGGGTGGAGAGAGGATGTTCCAGAGATGGGACACAGAAACAATGGGTCACAATTGGAAGTTGAGACTCAGATGAGTCAAAGAGATGTAAGGAAGTATTTCTTTAGGCATAGAGTTGTCAGGGAGTGGAATAGTCTGGCAAGTGACGTAGTGGAGGCAGGAACCATACATAGGTTTAAGACGAGGTATGATAAAGCACATGGAGCAGGGAGAGGACCCAGTACCGATCAGTGAAGAGGCAGGGCCAGAAGCTGTGAATCGACCCCTGCAACCACAAATAGGTGAGTACACACACACACACACACACACACACACACACACACTCGGTCACGTACTGAAGTGTTGCGTGCATGCTTTTAGATACGAATATAAAAAGTAAAGATTTTTATATTTGTTAACCTGGAAGGCGGTAGTGAAGCCTCTCAAGAGAATGAGACCACAGAACACAGCGACGTGATATTGTGTTCACCATCACCCTTACTAACACTCCTGCACCACACCACTGTCATCACCATCACACTCGCAAACACTCCTGCACCACACCACTGTCATCACTATTCACCACACTAAGGTTTAATCCAAGGAAGAGTAGCTCCAATTCATTGAATCACGAGCCCTTCACCAGTCTCGATACACTTGTACTGAAGGGAAACTGGAAGAATGTTAGCGAAGGATAATATGCCGATCATCTGTGCCGTAGCATAGTAAGTTATCTTCATGATAACAACTACATTAGTTACCTATACGATAACCATGGAAGTTGGTTCCAGTAAACGAAAACTTGCTTCCGGTCAACGAATACTGTTGACTCCAGTAAACGAATACTTACTTGCTTCCGGTCAACGAATACTGTTGACCCCAGTAAACGAATACTTACTTTCTTCCGGTCAACGAATACTGTTGACTCCAGTAAACGAATACTTACTTTCTTCCGGTCAACGAATACTGTTGACTCCAGTAAACGAATACTTACTTTCTTCCGGTCAACGAATACTGTTGACTCCAGTAAACGAATACTTACTTTCTTCCGGTCAACGAATACTGTTGACTCCAGTAAACGAATACTTACTTTCTTCCGGTCAACGAATACTGTTGATTCCAGTAAACGAATACTTACTTGCTTCCGGTCAACAAATATTGTTGATTCCAGTAAACGAACAGATATTGATTCCTTTAAGGCAGCAATCAAACAGGCGTTGATTCCAGTAAATGAACGGTTTCTGATTCTAGTAAACGAGCAGACGTTGACTGGAAGGCATTAGTTGGGTGTCGCAATTCGCCTCAACATTACAGTTAAGGAATTTGGTGCTGTTATTAGCCAAGTGTTTTACCTGTTGGAACTTGTATTTTCTCTTGTTTTCGAGTGAATTAATTCTTTACGTTCTTTTTAGGGTAATATTAATTTATTTAAAGTATTTAATTGTAATTTAGTTAGATTTTATAGTAAGTCATGGAGTACGCAGAGACTGTGTAAGGAAGTGACTAAATATATATGTAGTGGGAGTCGGGTCGCTCGTGGTGCCGTGACGGTGAATGACCGCAGCTGGACGGGGCCACAAGGAGGTGGAGGGTGCCACCAGGTAGTGGAGGGTGCCACCAGGTAGGGGAGGGTGCCACCAGGTAGGGGAGGGTGCCACCAGGTAGGGGAGGGTGCCACCAGGTGGTGGAGGGTGCCACCAGGTAGGGGAGGGTGCTACCTGGACCGTTGCCTGGTGGTGGGCGTGTATGGCGCAGGTTGTCTAAAGTCTATCAACCACATAATTATTATTATTATTATAGTCAAAAATGGGGATTTACCAATAGACCCCTGGCTGTCTTCAAGACCCCTGGCTGTCTTCAAGACCCCTGGCTGTCTTCAAGACCCCTGGCTGTCTTCAAGACCCCTGGCTGTCTTCAAGACCCCTGGCTGCTGTATAGTCCTTGTGGCTTAGCGCTTCTTTTTTTTTATTATAATAATAAGACCCCTGGCTGTCTCCAAGACCCCTGGCTGTCTTCAAGACCCCTGGCTTCTTCAAGACCCCTGGCTGTCTTCAAGACCCCTGGCTGTCTTCAAGAGGGAGCTGGACAGGCACCTAAGGTCAGTTCCCGACTATGGTTCGTACGCCGGTTTGCGTGCGGCCAGCAGTATTTAATTGTATCCACCGCGAGGCTTGGTCATGGACCGGGCCGCGGGGGCGTTGATCCCCGGAACACCCTCCAGGTATACCCCGATTCTCTTTACAACATCCGGAAGGTGGTGCTAGAGAGGTGGCGCACTGTTTTAATCTCTGGCTTCACTAAGAAATTTTCATAGAACGATATTCGATAATAATTTTTCACTTCCTAAAAATTCCGCCATGTCTGCGAAATGTTCTCCTAATATTTCATCCTCGAATGATGCCGGAAAACTCAATAAATTCTTCACACTGCAAGACAGCGCGCTGACGCACAGTCTTACCGTCACACCGTGACTTTAATTAACACGTACAAATACTAGTACAGATGACTCTTACCTGGCCTCAAAATTCATCAGTGATATTAGAAGAAACAGACATTGCAATAAGCGTATGTGCCCATTCGAGGCAGGTCATATAGACACTCAAATATTATTTTCATTCATGTATCTGCCTAACTCACTCTTAAAAACAAAACAAATATTAATCTCAGTGGCACTAATCTTTATTATTGATCGGGTCATCATTGCTGATGCCCAGTTGTTGCTTATTCCTTCAAGGGATGCTGAAGGGCTCTTGATTCAAGGAAAGGGAATTATCCTCACTTTCTTGGATTAAACCTGATTACCTTCCATTTTACATGCTAGGACCCTTAGTAGTTTAGCTCTTCCCCATGAATATAATAATCTACGGTACGGGTGGGGATTGAACTCGCGGCTAGTGAGTTGTGAATCTCCAGGCCGGTTTAGAGTTTTATGACTCACTAGCCGCGAGTTCAATTACCGCCTGTACCGTGGTTTGTCTGCAATCGTGTCATTACGATTTCGTGAGTCAATATAATAATAATACAACTTACATATACCCTTCCAAATAAGTTTTCTATATGGATGTATGAATTCCACTGTTTAACCTCGGAACGACCTACTATCAACCACTGTGACATCAAAGCCTCGCAATTTGACAAGTATTACGTGCGTGAAACTACAGAGAATTCAAGGAACCAAGAATGCATGACCCATAATCATTGCCTCGTATGGCAACCATCGTCACAATATTAACATCTCACAGTAAAGGTGTATACACCGAGAGGTGTGCATTTCTGTGTATATACCCAGAGAATTTCTTTAATTAATGGACCCTAAAGACGAACCACTGGCTCCACGTGGCAGGGTTGATAACTCAGAGATAACTAACTCTGAGGCTGACAGTGGCAGCAAACTTTAATAAAGGGGTGGACCGGTAAGCCAGCGGAAAGTCTCGGTCAGATGACCAAAAGTTCCAACGGTGGATCACCTGACTAAGACCCGCATCAGGAAACACATGTCCTGTTTCCTGACGAACCTTACCTAACCTAACCTTTAATTAATACCTATTTGACGGGATCCCTAATGAGGTTTTTCCCGTGTGCTTCATAAGCGCAGGAAGGTCGACTAATACACAAATAACCCGCACATAAAAGAGAGAAGCTTACGACGACGTTTCGGTCCGACTTGGACCATTTACAAAGTGACTTTGTAAACGGTCCCAATCGGACCGAAACGTCGTCGTAAGCTTCTCTCTTTTATGTGCGGGTTATTTGTGTATCGTTCCAGTCACGGTATTGTGCCTTTTTGTTATTTATAAACCTGGTACAGTTGGCGGCGGTGACGGAATTCGCAGCAAAGGGTAAAGCGCAGGCGGTGGACGAGCGATTAATCGTTTGTTTTATTTCACTTTCATATGCAGATTCTAAACTCCATGCTAAGTTGTTAGGGAAGTGGTCAAGTATGTTGTGGGTCGAGTGGCTGCACCAGGTCAGTATGATATCTCACAAAGTTCATTGTTGGCTGGTCATTCCCTGATGCATGATTTTGTGCAGGTGATGTAGGGTAGGGAGGAGAGGGTTGTTTTATTTTCCCTCGACTGGGGAAACAGGAAATTTTGCATAGTATAATCTTTCAACAACTGGTGACACAACTGTGAGGTGGGTGGGTACATAATATGGGGGAACAGGCATTTAGTGAATTTTAGTGAAAAAACAATTCATCGTTTAGTAAACCGTCACTATAGGATATATAAAACAGGCATCAACCGCTCACAAAGGTATACTCACCGAGAACTTTATACATATAGAGGTGAATATGCATATAACAAGGAATTTAATACTTTTCAGTGATTAAGTATTTTTGGTTGTAAGTATACAGGTGTTATGCAGCCTTAATGACCCACGTGTAGTTTATAGTCTTGAAACCTAAGAAACTAACTGGCTGTACGTGGCAAGTGGAGTAACATTCCAGGTGTGTGAGGTGTGGTGGTGGAGGGCAGCAGCCTTCCAGTCAGTTGACAGCGGCCGTCCACCTCGCAGCTACCATCATGGCTCCTCTCTTGGGTTACTGGAATATCCGCGGTGTAAGTTAACTCTTCTTTGTTCATGCCTTAAGTTAGGGTCTGTACACTAATGTGCATTTAAGTGTTCAGGTTACCTCCTGTGCTTATGTTTTAGGAATTGAAAGAAAACTTAATGTGGGTGACAAGACTTTCACTCCAAATAACTAGTCTACACAATGCTTAAACTTTTGTTTTCACTCCTAAATGATTTTATTTTTTCTCAACTTTAGTGACACTTCTTTCTTAACTGCTATAGCCTTTCTTTTTACGAACTTTTAAAAGGATAGTTTCCTTTTATTAAGGGAACTTTTACTTAAGAAATCGTAATGACACGATTGCAAATAAACCCCGGCCGGGATTGAACCCGCGGTCATAGTCTCAAAACTCCACTGGCTTAATCACTGGCTTAATCTAAGCCAGTGTGGCGAACACTTCCCTTAATAAAGATAACCAAGCGTTGGGTGCCTTGGTTCTCATCACATGCTATGTATCACAACCCATGTAAATGTACGTGTATACCTGAAGAAACTTACTATGTCAACTTCTCGGTATTGGATCTGTGCTCCAGTTCCCCGAATTAAGCCTGAATGCCTTCCACATTCCCCCCCCCCCCCCAGGCGCTGTATAATCCTCCGGGTTTAGCGCTTCCCCCTTGATTATTATAATTAATAATAATTGAACCATTTGTGTATATGTAAAAGATTTCCACCTTAATTTACACCACCGTCCATAGTTGAAACTTAAATTGTATTGTGTAGTGGACTGTCTCCACCCTGCCTCCAGCGTGCACCGGTGGGTGAGTCATGTACATGTAATGTGGTGGTTCTTAACGGAATCATTTCCGGCATGACTTGTCTGTTCGTCTGTGAAAACCCAGTCTCGAAATATTGTTGTAACTAATAGAAAAGGGCTAAACCCGTTGAGGCCACACAAGCTCAACGAATAAAAATCTAAATGTTTTCTTTAGATTAACATTTAAATTCAGTAGAAGGCAGTACCCGAAGACCATTAAATGTGAAGTGAATACTATAATCTGAATTGCTTCCCTCTACTACTGGACACTTTTTTTTTTTTTTTTTTTTTTCCTTGATTACTTACCAAAGTTTTAATGTAACGGGTTTTCCAAATATGGTATTACTTGCACAGTAGGTGCTCTACTGCAAGAAAAAAATTAAATAGTATTTACCAAAATACTTCATCTTAGCAGTAACTTTCCACTAAATGACTTTGCAGTTGGGTCAGTCCATCCGCCTGTTATTGGCCTACACAGGCACTGAGGTTGAAGAAAAGCGATACAACACTGGACCTGCTCCGGATTATGTGGAAAAGTCTGATTGGTTGCCCGTAAAGTTCACCCTAGGACTAGATTTTCCCAACGTAAGTTTACAGCTTCATACTTTAAAGATTTCTTTAACTTTGAAAAACTTTCTACTTGCGTTCTCGGTAGTTCATTTTAAGTCGATAGTTACCTTATTTCTAATAAACCCGTGTAACATTACCTCATCTTGTATGTGCATTATTGCCTTTATCAATAGGTTTAAAGCTAAATAAGCCAACTATCTTGTTAGGCAAAACTAGTTTAAATACTAGGTTAGTCTTTGGTTGAGGTTTTCAGTTGCATAGTGCCACGTACATGCTTAGTATTTCAGTAAGATATTTGCAAAAGTATAGAATTTGTATTATGAAGCTACATGGCTTGTATGAGCAAATTAGCTTTGAAAGAACTCGCCGATTGCTAAAGCTTACTAAATTAGTTACACGTAATACGTTATGCTTATAACAATCTGGTAGGAAGCAAACTATTTCTGTTTGCAGTTAATTTCCTTCCTCCAAAGGAAGAATGTTCATTCTTGTGTGATCTTGCCTACGAATAATCCTGGTTTAATTTTTTTCTTCATTATATTGGTTTTTGTGGTCTGAATTTAAGATTACTTAACATGATTCAACTTTCAGTTCCTAAAACTCTTGCTAATTTTATTTAGCTGCCTTACTATATGGACGGAGACTTAAAGATCACTCAGAGCAACGCAATCCTACGGTACATAGGTCGCCAGCATGACATGTGCGGAGAGACGGAGCAAGAAAAGATATGGGTGGACATTCTAGAGAATCATGCCATGGACATACGACAATCGTATGTTCAGCTCGTCTACAACACCTATGTAAGTAAACTACTAATTCTTTTATTTTACGAAGGTAACTTAACGTATACTTAGTATGGAAATTTCTGTGCGGACTGACTCCGGGTGAGCGACAAACTTATTCAGTACCGCTAATGCAGACGCCCCAGGTTGATTATCCCAGGCTCGCATGGTTCTTGCAGCAGAATTCCCAAGTCCTGTGACGTGATGACGTACAAAACGGTAGCTTGGAATACGCAGTTCCCTGATCCCACGACACCTCGAAGGGACTTAGAATCTCCTATCCCTTTGCACTCTCCCACAGAACGACGGCCGTTCGTTACTAGGATCTGCAGATACTGTGTGCTTAGTTTATTATGCACCCCATACGCCATCCTGTGGGCGGTAGTCAAGATTAGAGGTACATAATGGGGTCCAGGAACTGAGGCTCCCAAAGTTTTGATGGGGTGAATTAGTTAACAAAGGTAATGAATCCTGTATGTATTAGTTTATACATGGGTACAATCTTTAAATTTTTTAAATTCGCGCGTCCACACCCGGTCACTCCTATAAGGAGTTATTGGTGCAAATATTAATTGTGGATCTCGCACAGTATATAGATACGCAAGTGTACCTGATAGGGACTAGTCCTATTCTTTGGGAACCCGCTCGGTTATTTCGTTCCCCAGCCAAGCGTTATTTCTGCCGGTGTTTTGGCTGCAGTCACGTGACGAGACAGCCCTCTTTGGAATCGGGGTAGCAACTGGCTGGCGTCTGGAGTTTGCCTGGAGTTTGCCTGCAGTTCCGGGAATCTGCGGCCCGGTGTGACCAGGCCTGGTGGATCAGGGCCTGATCAACCAGGCTGTTGACTGCTGCCTGCACGCAATCAAACGTACCAACCACGGCCCAGCTAGTCGGGTACCAACTTTAGGTGCTTGTCCAGTGCCTGCTTGAAGACAGCCAGGGGTCTATTGATAATGCCCCTTATGTATTCTGGGAGGCAGTTGAACAGTCTTGGGACTGACATTGAGTGTTCTCTTAACGTGCTAGTGGCACCCCTGCTTTTCATTGAGATGTTGCATCGTCTGCCGGGTCTTTTGCTCTCGTAGTGATTTTTCGTGTGCAAGTTTGGTACTAGTCCCTCCATGATTTTTTTTTTTTTTTTTTTTTTCAGTTGTGTGTGTGTATATATAATCGGGCATCTCCCTCCTGCGTTCCAGGGAGTACAGGTTCAAGAATTTCAAGCTTTCCCAGTAACTGAGGTTCTCAGTTATGCGCGCCGTGAAAGTTCTAAATTTTCTAGGTCTGCAATTTCACCTGCCTTGTGTGCAGCAATATTCCAGCCTAGATAGAACAAGCGGCCTGAAGCGTCATCATGGCTTTGGCATCCCTAGTTTTGAAGGTTCTCAAGTTTTGAAATTAGTCTCTAATTCTTATTCTACATTAAACCTAATTTTACCTATCTTTCTAATTGTATAATGTGTAACTACTAAAATCTGTCAAATGTTTGTGCAAGCGGTTATTAGGGTTGCTTATGCTTACACTAAACATTTCATGGAATAACTTTTCACTTGGTATACACTAGTACTTGTTTCACTCGGTCTTCAATATTTTGAAAGACCTTAGTTACCATAACCGCGTAACTTCATTACAATTTGACCCTACTTGTACACCGCTTTATCCATAATAAATGTGCCTCTTATTACTTGTTAGTATACCTTCTAAACTGACTCCACTTACCTAGTATACTTTCCACTACAGGATACTAAAAGGGAAGAGTACTTAGAAAATCTGAAAGGTACTCTGAAGAGGCTGTCCGACTTCCTGGGTGACAAAACATGGTTTGCTGGAGAAAAGGTAATTTTTTTTTTTTCCTACTTAAGTAACTTAAATTTTAACTGTATAATCACTTAATATATTACAATAACCAATTCTGAAATACTTTCTAGCTGACGTTCCCAGACTTCCTCCTGTACGAGCTTCTGGACATCCACCTAGTAGTGGATAACACTTGCCTTGATCACACGGAGAACCTTCAAGCTTTCGTGAAGCGCTTTGAAGACTTGCCCTCCATTAAGAAGTACATGACTTCTCCTCAGTATATGAAGACTCCCCTGAACGGCGCTAATGCTAAATTTGCAAACAAATAGTTAAATTGTGGTAGTGTCCTGTTACAGTAAATTCTTAATCACTTCAGCTTAAATTTTACAGAATGTAAATTAAATATTTAAACATCAAGTTTGATTTAATATGTACCTTTATTTTGTTCACTCCCCACCAGGTTCTCGCACCTGGTTTACCAACCCTCTACCAAAACTAAGTGGCGGTCGCCCAGAAAATACAAAGCAGCGAACACAAACAACTGGCTTTAAACAAACTCGTGGCGACTCTCCCACTGTATTAATGGGCACTACCTTGGCGAATGCTTCTTTTAATTTGTCTTGCTGTGATCCACCAATTTTATTTCGCAATACATGTACGGTTTTCTACAGCAGTTACCCTTCGAATATTATTACTATATAATAAGTGCTAAGCCACAAGGGCTATACAGTACTGCAGGGCAGGAAGGAAGCAAGGGTATCGGGTGGCAAAAGGGAGATGGAAGAGTAATAGGTTAGAGAACAGCAGAGGCAGTGGATGGTGAAAGGGTAGAGGGCAGCAAGAGATTGAGGTAGAAAGGGCTGAGGGGAGTGCGAAAGTTCAGGTTGTGGAGTAAATCAGTCGTTGTCAAAGAGTCAGGATTAAAGGAGGGTCCATCAGCAAGGGAAGGTAGAGCGGAGACTATGTTGAAGGTAAATTCTGCGTGCTCGTTGATAGAGGGCAGTCTAACAATGTGTCTAATCGATACTGGAACTTGACCCTGCTCAGAGAGGAACAGGGTGTGGCCAATGTGAAGGCGGGAGTCTCTCCAACCTCGGCACTGATGACAAGATGGCCAGTAACCTATGCTTAGCTCAATAGAATGAAGTTTGTTACCGAGCAGAGTTGACCACTGTTTTTGCCAATGGGTGTGAAGGTGGGTAGCTATTACAGCAAAATAGTCCAGAAATGGAACACCTCTACATGAAATTGGTAGGTCATGTACTGCTGATCGCTCAGCAGTCTGCCTGTTCATTGCCCTGTATGTCAACATGGCCAGGGACCCAACAAAAAGCTTTGCCTGGTAGAAACACGGCATAGCCGAAGTTGGATACGGAGAACTAGGGGGCGAGGTATCAAATTTTCGTATAGCCTGTAGAGCACTAAGGGAGTCTGAGACTACCACAAATGATAACACGGGCATAGATACAATATGAATAAGCGCTGCAAGAATGGCATGCAATTCAGCAGTAAAAATGCTAGCCGAAGATAGTAATGCCCTTACATGACGCTGTCTGGAAACTGCTGCGAATCCAACGCAGTCTGAAGACTTAGAGCCATCTGTGTACACAGCAATGGCACGAGAATGAGTGGAAGTGATAAAGAAAGGGGGGGAAGCCACCGTAGGGAGTTGGGCTTTCGAGCAAGGTAGTGAGAAAGAACAGACCCGAACAGCTGGAACTTCCCAGGGGGGTAGGGAAAAGAGAGATGCTACATCAACATATGAAGGTGGTAACTGAAGGGAAGACTAGCAAATGTAGGCAAAGAGAAAAGGGATGGAGCAAACTGGCGGTGAACAAATAATGAATGTCTACTAATATCGGTGACCATCCTATAAATGGAAGGATTGCGGAGATCGTGAGCATACATAGTAGCGAAGGCAGTGGGCATGACTGTGATCAGACAGATTAGAAATTCCAGATGCAAGGAACTGCACTTAACTTCCTTTGATGGCACCTGATTACCTTCAGTTTTCCAAGGATTTCTGGCTTGAAGGCCTCTTCAAGGGGGGGGGGGCTCCTTGGTGTGGTGAAGAGGCTCTTGGTCTGAGGAATTAGGTCTCCTTCCTCACTGAACCTAATTACCCCCAATCCCCCCCCTTCCCTATCCCATCCCCTTTTCCCTTTCCTCCTCCCTCTCCCCACCTCTCCCTTTTGCCCTTCCTCTTTTTGGCCTTTGGGATTTTTCCCACAGGCATGCTAGTTCCTAGGTAGGGGAAAGGGTACCGGGGTCCATCCCATTCCGTTGAGGTTCTTGGTGGCGTAGTTTGCCGTGGAATCTGGATCGCCTGGGGATGTCCCGATCCCTCTCTGGTATCCCGGAGAGTGGCTTTGGGTGTCTTTTGGGAGACGGGTGTATCTCTGGAAGCCACCTTTCGGATTCCGGGGGTGGTGCTCGAAGGAGGTATGCTTTGTGGTGGATATCCGGCCGCCCTCTTTTGTCCGAGGTAGCTCGGCAGATGTGAGGTTGCTATCCCGGATTGCTGGTTTACTGGCATGATGGGTAGGGTATGGCATGGGTTCCATGCTGCATCTATGCTACTTGTGGTGCTAAGGTCCTCTTGGGTGCAGAGGGACATTTCTGGCCCTTTCATTCCTCCTAGGAACTATCCCTCCCCAGTCCCCCCCCTCTTTTTTTTTTTTTTTTTTTTTTTTTTTCTCTTTTTTTTAAAAAGAAAAGTAACCTAACCATGGAGAACCCAATCCATGAACCTGGTACCCCCGGGCCCCTTGATACCGCACCCCATTCTGACCCCCGCCTCGTGTTTGGACCACTCTTCGGACACTCGTGCCTCTGTACCTCTTGCCAGTGCTGTTTCCTCGCCACTGCTTCAGGTAGAGGTCTCGACTGACTCCTTTGATTTATCTGACCTCTGCTCTCCTTTGACTATGCTTCCGGCCTCTCCCTCTACGGTACGGCAATTTTCGAATCGCCGGCCCATTCCACGTCGGACAAACTCTGGTCCCATGACAATTACCTGCTGATACTTCTCCACCTTCTCGTTCTTCTCGGGAAAGATTGACACGTCCTGCACTCCTTTCCACGCTCGGTTTCAGACTGCACAATGGACTAAATTTTTCACTTTACGACACTTCCTCTACTACCTATTTTTCCGACCACAGTATTGGCAAGGCACTCCTACGCCACGTTGGTAAAGATTTCTTTTCATGCTCTTAAAAGCAGTACGCGTATCATCACTGTACAGAATGCTACCCAAGCTCATGATCTTTCTCTTTCCCCATATAGTTAAATGTTTATTATGCACCCCATACCCATCCTGTGGGTGGTAGTCAAAAGATTAGAGGTATATAATTGGTCCAGGGACTGGACTCCAAAGTTTTGATAGCTGAGCAAGTTACAAAGGTAATGAACTAGATCTGGTCATAATCATGACCAAGTTACAAAGGTAATGAGCTCCAGGTAGAGCTGGTCACAATCATGTAAAGTTTCAAAGGTAATGATAAACATTGACAGGATTACAATCATAGACAAATTAGAGTAATGAGCAGTTAACAAACATAGGGAATTCATCCAATGCCCCAACAACAGATGTTGCTAGGTGCCTGTCTCTCCTCGGCAGACAGCCATTGCAAACAGCAGCAAGTTGCCCCGGGATCTGCTGCTTGCACGAGCACCATCGACCCTCCCCCCAAGAGGTCCAAGAAGCCAGTGACTCTGTTAGCAGCCCGATGGAGAGCTGCCCTAGGGACATGTCAGCATCCTGGTGGACGCCAAGTTGATTGGAGATCCCAGGCCCTCGTGTGCACGGATGTTGAAGCTTGAGGAACTGAGTACACACTGCCTGTGGCACACCTGACGGCTGCCTCGCGGTCTAACTCCACGATGCTGTCCCTGTAGTAGTTCCTGTGAGCCCGGCACTCCCTGCAGTGCCATCGCTGACATCGTGGGTTAGGGGAGAAGCACCCTCTATAGATGGGGTGGCGCTGGGAAGTGGGTGGGTGAGGCGTTATGAGAGGGTCACTGTTTACTACACACGCCCTCCCCCCCCCCCAGCGGAGAGGGGGGAGGCACTGACTGGTCCTGACTCGACAACACCAGACCCTCTAAAACTGCACAACACTTCAATTATTTACGCTGAAACGATGCATTGGGATGTCCGTTCGCTGCTCTGGTATCTTCTCAAAGCATTCACAGAGTTCTGTTAAGTAGGGACCTGGTCAGCCTCTTTGACCAGGAGCGATCCTTGAAAATCCCGCAGCTATCCACTACACAAACCTGTTCTCGCTTCTTTGTGTTCTCCCTCACAAGCCTCAGTATCGACGAGACCTCATACGACACCTCCTCCCAATCGTCCCTCTACTTCTCAGAAGTCAAAAAAAGGTCCTTTAACCCCTCTTTCCCTTCTTCCACCTCATTTTACCTTCCCTGTCTCTGTACCGGGTTCTTCCCCTCTCACTGGCTCTGTTACAAGTGTAGAGGTTCACCACCCTCCTTGTACTCTACCTACCTCCTCTGTTCCCTCCCAAGTTTCTTCCTCTTCTGCCACCTCCCAGGTTTCTGCCTCTTCTGTCCCCTTCTACACTTCTCCAGTTCCCTCCACCCTTTCGCCCCTCCCCTACCTTGGTACAGTCCATTACAGTTCCAATCTTTACTCATCCTCCCCCTACCATCTCCAATATTGTCTCCCATACAACGTCTCTGAATTCCGAAACACTTGAAGCAATCTCTGACTGATCCACCCTCTGGACACTGATCCACCTCTGCTTCTCTCCTCTCCTCCATCTGCACAACTCATTTCTTCACAGTGCACTGTTCCTTCGCTGCTTGAAAGTTTTCCGCTGCCTCCGCATGTGAACTTTTCTAACCCCTCTAGTCCGTAGGAACCCTTACCTGCGGATTTCATCTTTATCATTGCCAATCATGGCCTATTTACAGTGGAATATACGTGGTCTCGGGTAATCGGGAAGAGCTTCAGATGTTACTCTCCCAGTTTTCCCCTGTTGGTGTTTGCTTACAGGAACCAAAATTACACTCTGCTGTTCTCTCTCCCATCTCAGGCTATAATTTATTGTATTCAGATCCTTTTCCTGATGGGACCTTTAATGAAAATGCCCTTCTTCTACACACTGATATTCCATACCATCAGCTATTTGTTCGTACTTCGCTGCATTACACAGCAGCCCGTATCCACTTGCATAGGTGGTATGAGCTCTGTTCTTTATCTCTCTCCTTCTCGGGCATTATCTATTCCGGATATTGCCTTTCTTGTTTCATTACCACCACCGATCCTGTTACTTGGCAATTTTAATGCCCATTTCCTCTGAGGGGGGGGGGTCTCACTGTGATTCCCGTGGCATTCAGTTAAAGGCTTTTCTTGCCCCCCACCCCCTCCATGTTTTAAATACAGGTACTCGCAC